AGACGCGGGTGGCCAGCTCACCTCAAGCACTCTCCCTGGGAGCACTGCAGCCTAGCGGGGCATAGAGTTGCTTTGCTTTTTCTGTGGAGTTAGGGAGCCTATTCAAATTCTAGTGTACCCTTCCTTTTATTCGTCACCCAGTCACATGGTTCTGTCTTGAGTGTCCTATTTTTCTTTTTTAAATTTCTTTTACTGGGGTGACAAAATTGGGCATTTAAATAAAGTTCTTTTCTGGTGAGTAAAGAGGGTTCTCAGAGCCAGAAATCACTCAAAAGACAGTTTGCCAACCCTACCCATGGAAAAGCCCAGAGAGTTTTCTAAATACCTCTTGCCAAACCTCCTAGTTTTGCCATTGGATGTTTCTTGGTCTAGCATTGTTTGGTGCTGAATATAGTTTGCAATTCCTTTGTTCTCTCCTCCAGAGCTTCCATTACCCTGGACTTCAACTCATTACTAAATTAAAGAATTCCTTTAGAAGATTTCTTTTGCGAGTCAGGTCACCATGGAAAGGACGCCCTCCTGCTCTCCTAGTCCCAAGGGCAGTCAGGCTACGTCTGCTCTCACATTGCACCTTCCTTTTGTTCGTCTACTGTGGCAGTGCTCTCTGAGGCCAACCTGATTTGATTATCTAATACCTTTTCTGCAGAATCATATAACCCCTGCTCACAGCCTCAACTAATCACATAAAATCTTCTAGAACAACAGAGGAAGGCGCTAGAAAGGGGCACAGCTAGTATGAATTCCACCCAGATCTGCCTCTCTCCCCACTCTCCCCTAAAGGCAATAGGTGCTGGGAGCATTGTAGGGGAGTCCCCAAAAGGAAGCGCAATGGGCCTTTACTGTGTTTTGGGGGGAACCTGAGGGTTTTTTTCTAAGGGCATACCTCATTTTTCACTTTTGTATGGAGAAAAAAACACTGAGTTTTGGGCATGAGCAGGGCACATACTGCTGGTATGTTTGTGTGATGGAAATACACACAGGTCAAGGCATCAGGACTGAATAGGAAAAGAACACACGCAGCTGAAAACTTTTCTCTGTTCATTATCAGAATGCACCAGTTCTCACAGGTCATGGATTGGAAAGGGTTTTTTGGTCCTTACAGAATATTGTGATGATAGAAAATAAAATCCCTATGACTTTTAAACAGAGCAAGCCTTTAAAACCCAGTCTTTCCAAGGCCAAGAGCTACTGTAACTCCTCAGATGGCAGGGAATGGACTGTGGCTATCACATATGAGGAAATTTTCTGCTATGCTTAATCATGGCACAAATAGATTCAAAGTGTTAGGAATTTGGGAAGAGAAAAGTTGATAAAGCTGTTCTTAAGAGCTCAAGTTTATAATTCAATTAAAATATACAGCAAATTTTGATACAGAGACTGTCATCTAAGGTATTTTTTTTTTTTGTCCAATTTGGTCTTTAATTTTTTTCCATGTGTAGATCTGTATCTACATGTGCTCAATTTCCTTTCTTTTTAAGGTTATGTTTTACACATTTGGGAGCCTTTTTTGTACAAATGTTGGCATTTAATAGGGAAAATATTGCCTACACTGCTGATAGACTACCAATGTTTTTAGTGCTAGGAAATTTTATTTTTCATAAACCGTGTCTACATGTATGGAAATACATATTCCCCTCTGACTTTTTACCTTTTCCTTATTTAGCAAATTTCATTTTAAAATCATAAATTCTTTTCCCTACTAGTTCTTGTTCCCTATATTCATCCTAAGAGGTCTTACGTCTGGAATATTTGCTTTCATCTTGTCTATCTTCTTCTTGGCTACTAAAAAGGAAACATTTTTAAGCACTGATATCATCATAGCACGAGGTCTAAATATAAGATGATTGTAAGATTCAAAACCAAAAAGTAAAAAAGATCCATACTCATTCTCTGATCTTGAAGCAAAATATTTTTTCTTATTTCTTAATGTGCTTGGGACTGTTCAGTTTAAAAGTGACGACTGGCAATCTAAAAGCATCTCTATCTTTTTGGAACAGGTACACACTGGTTTCTTTTCTAAAATGTGGGTCAGTTTGGACAGCAGCCCTTTGAGAGGCTAGGCAAATAGCAATGGCCCCATGACAACTTCTTTGCTCCCATTCCAATCTAGCTTCTTGATCTTTCCACACACACACACACACAAAAATCTGTCAACTACTTTAGGCTATGAGATGTTTGGGAACAATAACATATAGTAGGGATACGTCCACTTTAATGCAAACCTGGGTAGTCTGTTTTGTCACAGACTACAATAACTATATCACCTCACCAACAATTCTTTTGGGATCACCCAACTTTTTTTTTCTTTTAAGATATAGCTTCCTCTATGAGGAAAGGATAATCAATAGGGTTTCAAGTTACCTGTGGTTTTTCTGTCTACATGTTGTGCATAAAAAAGGTGGATTTTAACCCAATTGCTTAGCTTTTTACATAGCAAATTTGTATTAAGGCAAATGGATCTCCTTCAGATTTTCACTTGTAACATGTTGTGTGATTTCATGTCAACTTCCTACAGATTAAATTTTTTTTTCCTTAATGTCAATTTCTTCTATGTTATGGGTGGAATGACTTGTTTTTCAAAATATCAAAACAATTCCATGACATAGTTAATTAACTAATGCTCCCTCTGTTGGTGGTAAGTGGAAATATTAGAGCCTTACGACATTGATATTAAAAAAAAGCAAAATTGGCAATAGAAAAATGAATGTTTCTTATTTCTTTAGCTGTTTCTTATTAACTTTTACAACAAATAAGTTTTGGACACACAATTCTTGGTAGGACTCCTTTAGAAATCATTATGGGTAATATTCCATAGTCAATTAACCATCCAACTTCTAGCAAAATATCCACTGAATTAAGCACCACTAGTAGGACCAAATCAAACTCACAAACACTTCAGTTGCACTAACTATTAAGTATCACACAGAACTTACCAAAAAGATCCAAGTTAACCAAATGTCTAAAATATATAAGTAAAACCAATTTAGTCATTATAGAGTTGCTTGCCTTGGAAGATTTTCCCTCATTTGCCACGTAGTTTTTGTAAATATATTGCTGACAGAAAAATTACAAGGGAAATTAAATTAAAATGTAATTTTGAAACTAAAATATGGTCTCTTTTCTTCTTTTTAAAATTAGTTTGCTGTTTCTGCTTTGTTTGAAGATTCACTTTTCTAGTGTGTTAAAATATGCCCAGCAATGAAATCACTTTGGGGTTTTTAGTTATGTTTACAAATTCCTATATTTGAGTTGGAATCCCTTCAGGACACTGTCTATAATGGAAAAATCTCTACTATAATACGTTGATCAGGACCGAGGAGAGAAATCTCAACTAGGAAGAGAGAGTAGCATCTGGTATGATGCAATAGATTGGTGGCCTTTCGAATGGTGGATGTTGGCATCTGGAAATTTTGTTAATTTCTCTAAAATCTTTCCAAAACACAAGGGTTAATAAATCATCTAAAGAATGATCATCTTATTTAGCCCTCTTAACCATGGTGGAAATAGAAGGTGATATTTAAAAAGAAAAAAGTAATTTTGGCATCAATGCATCTCGATCTGTAACAGGCTCCTCCTAATGATGCTCTCTGTAGGGTGAGGAGGTCTGGCAGAGTTTTGCGAACTCCTCCTCCTGGCTGACCACAAAAGAAAAGAACCCATTTATCAAGTCCTCTAGACTACTAGTGTTTCATCATAGGAAAAAAAAAAAAGTCAATAGAAATTCGAGAATCATAAGATCGCAGTGAAGTTTTGGAGAAGAAAGCTGTTTCTGAAAGATAAAGTCCCTCCCATGAAAAAGAACAGAATTCTAGATGGATCAATTGAAAAAAATCTTCAGTGGAGCAACTTAAGCTTGCTAAAAGTCAAAGAACTACATATCAAAATACAAAGCAGCAATTCAGATTACAGCAGGGATGGGCTGGCCACAGAGGCCCTCATCAACCCAGGCAATACTTAAAATAATAAAAATTAAGAAAAATTAAAAAAAATATGAAGAAAATATCCTTCCTCTCTTTCAAATATAACTTTAGTTGCCTTTTATTCTTTCTATCTGGAAGCAGTATCGCTAACCTTAACAGTCTTGACTTACCAAAAAATATATATATGTGTGTGAAATAAAATAAAAGAGAAGGGATTGGTGGCAGTGTATGCATAACCAAAATGAAAAAAAAATTACTTTTAACAATTTCACTTTTTTTGTTTTTTTTTTACACAAATACTGTTGTAAATATATTTAAAAAATCAGCATTCTATCTGGTAAACGTCACTTTTGCCCCTCTATAAAATTTTGAATTAAAAAAGCCTCAAGAACTTTGTATTGTTCCCCCCACCCTCCATTTTTCTTTTTCTCTTCCACAAGAATATATCCTGACACTTTTTTTTTTTTTTTGCAAAGATTGTTGGAAATAATCCTTCTCTTGTACCTAGAAACATAGGTGCAAATTTCTGATATCTTTGTTTTATCTGCATTCCTGCCTTTCATGAAAGTCCCTCTTGATTGTGCTGAGGCTGGGGCTCAGCGAAGACACTGAATAAATACGATAGCCACTGTTGCTTGTTGCTTGTCCAAGTCTTCCTGGCTTCTGCTGAAAGGGGGGATATGGGGGAGGTGGGCAGGGGTGCGGACCCCGGCAGAATCTGGGGGAGAAGCCTGCCATTTGCCTTTCTGGCCCACACCACCAACCCTCTGCCCATTCCCGCCCCCCACAGCCCTTTTGTGACATCAGACAACGTGGTAGGTGGAAAACAGCAGGGCCCTCCCTCTGGGTTTTCAACCAGAAGTGATATTCCACAGTTTTAACTGGTTACTGTGAAGTCCAAGCGGCCAGAATTGTGAAAATGTCCACTGAAACACTGCAAGCGGTGTACTTAAAGACAGTAGGCCTTTTAGATTTTGTTATATATTTTTGTAGTGCTCTTCACAAGTGAAAAAAAAAAAAATTTTTTTTTTTTTACTTTTTTTTTTTTAAAAGATTTTTT